CAGCCTTAGCAAGCAGTAGCTTGTAAGCCATAGCCGCGTCCACAATAGGCTACTGATCGGCCTACCCGTGAGCTAACACATCGTGCTAGACAATTAATCAATAATGTGAATTTCTAGTTACATTCATTCACTGAGCCAACAGCCAATAAAGCCGGCGACTATTTCAGGAGAGAATCCGATTGGCTCAAGGGACATCTTTTGCACGCGTTTGTTTCCTAAATACGTTGTACCTCATACACTAAAAGACTTCTGCCGTTGCATCCTTCTTGTCGTATTCTTCCTTTGGGGACTCACATAAGGCGTTATTGGGCGGCGATATCTCGGCCTGGACTTCCGTTACAACACTGCCATTGAGCTATCAGGCTTACTGTCAGCCGCGAATTTAATCACACTAGGGTTGATTTTACCCGGTCAGGAATTTGTTCAATGTTTTTTTCGTTTTCCTACCTGCCATTTACACAGAATTGTGGAACAGATGGTGCTGTACAGACGGATATTGTACTACCTGGAGTATGTCTACGTGCAGGTCAAAAAGGCCGTTGACAACAAGCGATTGAAGCCAACTGAGACTGCCAAACGAAGTAAGTCGAACCCGGGTAACCCTGTCATCTTCTCTTGTCAGGCCACTTTTTCAGAACTCTCCTAATGCCTTTGCATTGCTTTTTCCCTACCCAGGACTGATCGACTGCAATGCCCTTTATCACCGATGCTACATTCGACTGTGTCAGTTAGCTCGACAGTCACGTCGGGATGACCTAATTGAGCCGGTCGGACGACTCCTGTCCAGAATAACTGCCAACCGTCTCATATTCAACCATGCCCTTGATCAGGTAAGTGCTCTACGTTTAAAGGGTTTAACATTGAGTAACACTTTGGGTTCGGGTAGGACCAACATACCTTGTTTTGGGCTGGCGATCGTACCAAGGGCATTTCTGTACGACACCATGCCTGCGTAACCGCCACTTCAGTAACTGGCAGGCTGAATCTGTTAAGGATGACCGGCGAGTCTCTTTCCACAATGTGCATTATGGTGGATTGAGTCTTAATTCGTTACCGTGGGCTTCGCAATTTATACTATGTCAACCACTACACCTGGTACATGAAGGGAAATAGTGTGAGAGAGTGTGTGTTATTGGGTGAGGCCTGTGAGGGCCCAACCTGACGAGTCCTTTTTTGTACTTACTTACTTGTACTTGACCCGATTAGCTCCTGTTCTTGGATGAATCGGCTTCACGGATGTCACGGATAGCTACGGTCGGAAGCGAGCTCTTCAAAGATCTTAACCCC